CAAAATGAATGGTTTGATAGTGGGGTTATAGTTATCTAAATTAAACATATAATATCTCAATTAAATCCCTATCTGCCTAGTTTTCAAGGATTCAAATCGCTTATCAATTAAATTTTTATTGAACAAGTTATGACTAATTTACTACTGACTATTAAGTGAAAATTAAGAAACAAGGGAAACCGAAATATATGTGATGATAAAAGAAATAGTTCGGCAGTGGGGCTACAGTTATCCAAATTAGGTATATAATATATTAGTTTACATCCTATCTGTCTAGTTTCTAAAAATGTAAACCTCTCATTAATTTGATTTTTATTGAGCAAGTTATAGTCAATTTATTATTGATTGTTCAGTAAAAGTTGAAATGTGTGTGATGATGCAATTGATGGTTTGGCAGTGGGGCTATAGTTATGCAAATTAGGCATATAATATATCAAATTAAAGCACTATGTCTAGTTTTTAAAGATTCAATCTTCTCATCAATTTGATTTTTATTGAGCAAGTTATGGTCAATTCACTATTGATTGTTCAGTGAAAAACGAAATGTGTGTGTTGATAAAACGAATGGTTTACTTGACCCAAATTTAAGGGATTATCACATTTGGATTGATAAGAAATATTTCAAATAACACTTATTAATTGAAAACGGAATCAGTCAAAGTCAATTCATTTAACATATATACTCGCACATCAGCAGGACATAAACAATTAATAATTTATATAACAAATTAAAATACACGAATGTTTTTACAGAAAACGTATTCAACACAAATGAATTATTTCCACTAATATAGATGTAACACATACTCACAGATCGGCTAACAATAGGATCGTCCTCGATTTTATCTTAGTAAAGTACATGAACATTTCCTTGAAAACAAATATAACAAAATTTAATCGATCTTTATGTTAAGATTGTTAAGGAATAATTATTCATTCGTATAACAACTGTTACCTGAAAACGAAATCAACAAATGTTAATTAATCTTCATATTAAAATTGTTAAGGAATACACTTACCGTTCAGTAGGACTAACACAATTAATCATTCAAATAGATTGACCAAACAAAAACAATCATTCAACCAAATGATAACCGTTAAAATAGTTAGGAGATATATTTACAATTTTATATTAAAATAGTTAGAAGATATACTTACAGTTCAGAAGAACGAATCAAAATAACAACCCATTTGACAATGTCAATCGGACATCCTTCCTTTATTCCATACTAATTCATGAATCTTTGACCTCGAATGCCAGCACAATTAAATACGAATTAAATATGAAGAAAGGTTTGTAATGTCAATACAATGCACATATATAATTATTAACAAACATTTATGCTTATACTACCAATGCAACCTACGTAATTAAATCTTTATGTCTATTTATTTAGACTTTGGAATACTAATGCAACAATAAATATTGTCTACATCATCACCAATAAAATTCAACCACATGATAATCACAAATTCAAGATGTTATTATGGTTAGACCTTTAGAATACCAATGCAATGCACCTATATAATTAGTATTATTATTAATTATTAATACAACCAATGCAATGCACCTATGTAATCCAATCTTTATGTCTATTTATTTAGACTTTGGAATACCAATGTAACAATTAATATTGTTTACATCATCACCAATAAAATTCAACCACATAGCAATTATAAATCCAAGGTGTTATTATGATTAGACCTTTAGAATGCTAATGCAATACATATGTATTACCATTATTATTATTAATTATTAGTACAGATTTTTTTTAATTAATTAATAATTATAGATTGAGCAATAAATACTAACCTAACGTATCAAGATAGAACAATTTGATTGTCTTATCAATCCAATGTGTCAAAATGAAACAATTCTAGAGTTTTCAAAATATGCCACGTGTCGATCAACCCACATGGGTATCCAACTTTTTATATATATATATAGATCCTTAACCCAACTACCATTCAAAATCTGAAAAGAGTGATGCATACATTCTAAAAAATATCATTAAGACCCATATATATGGAAAATTATCTATGTGCCCTCACATTTTGACAAACCATCACTATCTTTCCTTAAACTAGTTAAGGAATATGAAGTTGATCTATAATGATTTATATTACAATACATTCTTCAAAGATTAAATCCCTATAACACCCTTCCACTAAACAAAACGATAAATTTATTTTTTCAATTAATATATGTTGATACGTGATTTTGACACTAAAGACTTCACACATGCAAAATGTCAAGAGATCACATGTGAGATGATTATTGTAAATGGGTAAGGTACTGTTTTCATAGTAGCATGCAAAGACGTAAATAATAAAGGAGACAGTAAGTTTTTATAGTGGTTCAGATGCTAAAAGCGAATCCTACATCCATTGTATTATTTTATATGAGTATGTTCTTAGTCGTTAGCTAAAATTACAAGAGGTCGCGAACTACGATTTGGTATTACAAGCGCTTGGTGGTCTAAGTATTTTTAGAGAATGTCAAGCTAGTCTCTTTCTCATAGTGTGTGACGGATGAAGATGTAGACTACATCATGAGAGAGATACATGAAGAGATTTGTGGTAATTACACTGTTGCACGCAATCTCTCGCCAATAAAATTATCCGACAAGTATATTATTGGCCCTTACTTCACGAAGACACTTACAACTTTGTGAAGAAGTGTGACAAATGTTAGAGATTCGTGAACATACCACAAGCTCATTCCTACCAATTGACAACGATGACTAACCCTTAGCCATTCATTATGTGGGGAATTGATCTCATCGGTCCCATGCCAACCGGTAAGGGTCGCATCAAGTATCTAATGGTCGCAATGAATTATTTCACAAAGTGGGTCGAAGCAGAATCTTTGGCCGTGATCAGTACATAGAAGTTCAAAGACTTTATCTTCAAGAATATAGTGTACCATTATGGAATTCCTTATATCCTTATCTCAGATAATGGAAAACAGTTCGACAATGAGAAATTCAAGCTGTTTTATGAATACTTGAGGATTCAGAAAAAATTCACCTTAGTAGCAAGACCACAAGCTAATGGGCAAGTTAAAGTTGATATGGGTAAGGATTTGTCAGCACCTCACTAAAGGTGAGCCATGGTTTTTTAAGGATAAATGGGTCTAGGTAACTTCTTTTAGAAGATCAGGGGAGGTTGATAATAAGATTGCTCTATTCTTCAAGCCTATTTTGTGTAGTTTCTTCACGATGAGCCTACTATAGTAGATCTTACAAAAGTAAAGCTTTTTATAAAGATCAGGAGTGGTTGTTAATAAGATTGCTCTATTCTTTGGGGCCATTTGGTGTAGTTTCTTCATGTCGAGCCTACTATAGTAGACCTTACAGAAGTAGAGCTTTTTATAAAGATCGGGGGCGGTCGTTAATAAGATTGCTCTATTCTTGGGGCCTGTTTGGTGTAGTTTCTTCACGTCGAGCCTAATATAGTAGATCGTACACAAGTAGAGCTTTTTATAAAGATTAGGAGAGGTTGTTAATAAGATTGCTCTATTCTTCGGCCCTATTTGGTGTAGTTTCTTCAGGTCGAGCGTACTATAGTAGATCTTACAAAAGTAAAGCTTTTTATAAAGCCATTGTGCTTTTAAGAAAATAGAGCTTTTATGAAACGGTTGAAAGATAAGTTATTTACCCATAGAAATGTACAAATATTTTCTACTCTTAAATTATCAGAAATTATTATAAAAATATATCAACTCAAATTTATAGAATAATATGATAATATTTTAAATTTCAACCCTATGAATAAGTTTAAGACTAGATAAAAGTAAAATAGGTTAGAGTATATTTGGTTTGTAATATGAAAATTTGTTTCAAAAACTAATACATGATTCAAAATTTTGAATTATATCTTAATATATTTTTTATTTGAAAAAATATTCAAAAATTGTTTTCGAATTATAAATTATAGAAAAATACGAGAACGATTAAAAGAAATCTCTGTTTTTTTTTTTTTTTTACAATAATTTTTAGGATTATATCCAACACAAAATCTGTAAAAACATTTCAACTCATTTTTTTGAGACATTTTCATAAAATTATTTTATCTCATATTTTTTTAAGCAAAAACTATATTTAAATTTTATATTAAACTATTTTACTTATGCTTGAGAGTTTTTTTCCACTGATTTTGAAAGGTTTATAATTAGATTGATTTTGAGATATTATAAAACCATTATTTATCAGATATTTTATGCATCGGTTTTGGTTGGCTCAAAAACCCTTCATAACCAATGTAGTGTATTTTTGAGAGGTTTATAAAACACTTCAAATTAGGGTGTTTTAGTTGGTTTTAAAATAATTTTAAACAATCATAAAAAAAATTTATTAAAATCTTATTTCTAGATGCTTTCTCGGAGAAGTGAAGTTATAATTTTTCAATTATTCATAATACTGCAAAGAACGACAAAAACGGATAAAGAGACTTTATCACATTTAAAGTTATAAAATACTAATAAGTAAAAAATAAATAAAGAATCCTTATCTTGTAATTAAAAAAATAAGATTCCCAAATACTAATTCAAGTTTGGTATTTTTATGAACATATGTATAAATTTAACATTTTAGAAAATTATCATAACCTTTGAAAAATAAACTCTCAAATATAGCTTAAATGTTACGAAAGTTGCTACTAAAAATCAGTTAAAGCCGCTGCCTGTACCCTCGTAATCGCTATAGTGTTTTACCCTAGTAGCTTTTACTATGAAACTCCCCCTCAGAAGATTTCGCTATAATTGCTTAATCTTTAATCTTCCATAGTCAAAATTCTTTGAATTTGCAGCCATTTTTAATTTATATATGTAAACTTTTTCTTTCTCACGCCTTTGCTTAGAGATCTCAGCAGGATCTCTCTGACTCTGTCTCTCTTTACCACCAGATCTCATTTCATTAGACCCCAACTTTGCCACCAATTTTCTTGCCAACCAAGCAAACCCGTGCCACAGAAACTCGCTTTCTTCTTCGTTTTTCGACATGGGTTCGTGCTCAAACCCCTCAAAACGCTTCCTCTTTGTAGCCCTTTTCGTCGTTTTGGCTCTCTCTCCGATCTTTGCTCAGGTTTTTTTCTTATTCTTTTTTCATGAGTGTGTGTTTTGTTTTGTTTTGAATTGTTTTGTTTTAACGTGTTGTGGGTTTTGCAGGAGGCTTTTGTTGATGCGGAGAATGACGATTTAAGTCGATCAGTTAAAGATTTGGGCCGCCGTGGCATGGTGAGTTAAGTTTATTGTTTGGTTGCTGAGAAAATTTGAGAGAAAATAGGGGTAGAAAGACAAATTTGAACCTTTGGGTAGATTTGACTTCTGAGTCGACCCTTTTAGAAGTTTGGTCTAAGCAGAGGAAGAGCCCTATGTTTGGTATAGAACTTCGGGGAGGTGAAAGAAAATTTAAGTTTGTTATTTCTTGTTTGTTAGCTGAGAAAACTTATGAGAAAAAAGGGAAACAAATTGAATTTTGAACCTTTGGATAGATTATACGATCCTTTAGAGGTTTGGTCTAATTATTACGTCTGATGAAGAAAAACGAACAAACCTAGATGGTTTATCGGGTTCTTTTAGGGGAAAGAGTAGCAGATTTATTTTGTTACGGTTTTGCAGATTTTCAGAAACAACCTTGACACTGATATTGCTGCAATTGGTTATCATGTCGAATCTGGTCTTGGAGTATTTGATGCATTTGTTGCAAGTTTTTCGATGATTCTTGTCAGCGAGGTTGGTTGATTTTCAATTCGATCATTAGTTATTTATTGCATTCTTATGGATATGGTGACAATTTTGTTTTAATTCAATAGTTATGTCTCAAGGGGAAAAAAAAAAAAAAATATTTTAATTCTGTTTGCTATATATTTATCTAATGAACGTTTGGGTTGGTTGACAAAAATGCTACTAGATTGGAGATGAAACTTTTATAATAGCAGCTCTGCTGGCAATGCGGCATCCCAAGTCAATTGTTTTATCGGGTGCTCTTAGTGCCCTGATTGTTATGACTGTAAGTTGCTACTTCTTGTTTGGTTAAAGTATTATGCACTCCATTTTGTGACTTTGCTCATTGTGGTTTCTGATAATGCAATGCATTTGCACGGCGTTGTAATGAAATTGTTCCAGCAACAATGAAAAGCACTACCAAGTGCATTTCTCTTATACTTGATGTTATCAAGGTTAAAGTTATTGTACATGTCCATTAGGTGCTTTCTACTGGACTCGGTAGGATTGTGCCAAATTTGATATCAAGGAAGCATACCAATAGAGCAGCTACAGGTATTTATCTTTATTTTATTTTCCTCCCCGCTCCCTTGCCTCTTTTTACCCTGTTACCTCTAGCTCTTGTATTTCTCTTTCTCATCTTTTTACCCTTTATTTGTTGTTCATGTGCATATTTTTGTTGTGCATGGTTTTATTCTTTGGCTTTGTTAAGTCTTCGATTAGTATTGGAGTTTTTACTGTTATCCTTGCTTTTGGGTAAATCTAGTTTTATTGACACATGGAAAATCAATGTAACAACTTTTAGACTTAATTGAAAAGAGTGCTGGATGCCTTATAAGTAACTTTAAACTTTGAGGCCACAGACAACTTCAGCTAGTCTTGTAAAACAACTAGTTCTTAGTGAATTGCATTTTTATTTTATTTTTTTCTCCTAAGGATGGTTCAGTTTTGTTAACACAGTGAACTCAATTGAAAATTCATACCGATGATGGAACTGAATTCTTATATATCATGTGTCTTCGTATGAGATTTCTCAATCTTTCATTGCATTTTGTACTTATAGTATTTCGTCCTATTTCATTTCTATCTTGTTTGATAATGTGAGCTGTTCAAGCATTAAACAAAGTTAACATAGTCCATGCATTGTGTTCCTTTTTGTATGCAGTTCTTTATGCATTTTTTGGGATGCGGTTACTTTACATAGCTTGGAGATCAGATCCAAAATCGAGTCAGAAAAAGGAAATGGACGAAGTATGTTTGCATTTTTTCTCCCTGCAGAAGTCTCAAAATTGTCCATCTTATATGTTATTTTTGACCATTTACCCTGCTGTTTCTGATGTCATAAGACTATTAGGGAAATTGAGAACAGGGAAAACAATATGTGTGATAATAAAAGGAATGGTTTGTAGTGGGCCACAGTTATACAAATTAAGCATGTATATATCAATTTAAAGCCCTGTCTGTCTATTTTTTAAAGATGAAAACCTCTCATCAATTGGATTTTTATGAGCAAGTTATGATCAATTTACTACTTACTGTTCAGTGGAAGTCGAAATGTTGTATAATGAAAGGAATGTTGGCAGTAGGGCTATAGTTTCTAAATTAAGTGTATATATATCAAATTAAAGCATGGTCCTGTCTGTTTCTAAAGATTCAATCCCTCATCAATATATTTTATTGAGCAATTATGGTCTTTTACTACTAATTGTTTGGGAAACTGAAATGCGTGTGTTAATAAATGAAATTACTTATATTCAAACAACCTCTTTTCATGATATATGTATGTAACATAAAAAGATATCAACAAAAAGAGATAGACAATTATATTAAAACTACATATCAATATTTGTTTTCTTTTATGGATAATAATAACGGTTCAACATATATAATAGTTTACTACAGGTACACGGTTCGACAACAATATCATATGATATTTGTGATACAAATAAATTTGTTATATCCAGCAACAACCTGTTTTCGATATATGTATGTACATAAAAAAATATCATAAAAAGAGATAAAACAAATACAATTAAACTACATATCACTATTTTTTTTTCTCTTTGTCATAATTAAAATTGAATTTTTTTATGTGTGTGATGATAAAATATGGTTGACTGTAGTCTATAGTTATTCAAATTCATTGTATAATATATCAAATTAAAGCTCTATCTTTCTATTTCCAAAGATTTAAACCGCTCATCAATTGAATTTTTATTGAGTAGTTATGACCATTTTACTACTGATTGTTTAGTAAAATTGAGAAACAGGGGAAACGAAATGTGTGTATAATAAAAGAAATGGTTTAGAAGTAGGGCTACAGTTATCCAATTAATGTATAATATACCAATTAAAACCCTATTTGTCTAGTTTCTAAAGATGTAAACCTCTCATCAATTGGAGTTTTATTGAGCAGTTAGGTCAATTTACTACTGACTATTTAATAAAAACTGAAACTGTGTGATGACAAAAGAATGGTTTGATAGTGGGTTATAGTTCTAAATTAACTATATATCTCAATAACCCTATCTGCCTATTTTTCAAGGATTCAATCGCTTATCAATTAAATTTTTATTGAACAAGTTATGTACTATTTACTCTGACTATTAGTGAAAATAAGAAACAAGGGAAACCGAATATGTGATGATAAAAGAATAGTTCGGCAGTGGGGCTACAGTTATCCAATTAGGTATAATATATTAGTTTACATCCTATTTCTAGTTTCTAAAATGTAAACCTCTCTTAATTTGATTTTTATTGAGCAATTAGATCATATTATTGATTGTTCAGTAAAATTGAAATGTGTGTGATGATGCAATTGGGTTTGGCAGTGGGCTATAGTTATCACAAATTAGGCATTATATACAATTAAAGCACTATGTCTGTTTTTAAAGATTCAATCTTCTCATCAATTGATTTTTATTGAGCAAGTTAGTCATCCCTATTGATTGTTCAGTGAAAACGAAATGTGGTGTTGATAAAACGAATGGTTTACTTGACCCAATTTAGGGATTATCACATTTGGATTGATAAGAAATATTTCAAATAACACTTATTATTGAAAACGGAATCAGCAATCAATTCATTTAACATATATTCGCACACAGCAGACATAAATTAATATTAATAAACAAATTAAAATACACAATGTTTTTACAAGAAACTATTCACACAAAGAATTATTTCCACTAATAGATGTAACACATACTCACGATCGGCTAACAATAGTGTCCTCGATTTTATCTTAGTAAAGTACATGAACATTTCCTTGAAAACTAAAAAATTTAATCGATCTTTATGTTAGATTGTTAAGGAATAATTATTCATTCGATAACAACTGTTACCTGAAAACAAATCAACAAATGTTAATTAATCTTCATATTAAAATTGTTAAGGAATACACTTACCGTTCTAGGACTAACACAATTAATCATTCAAATAGATTGACCAAACAAAAAATCATTCAACCAATGATAACCTTAAATAGTTAGGAGATATATTTACAATTTATATTAAAATAGTTAGAAAATTACTTACAGTTCGAAGAACGAATCAAAATAACAACCCATTTGACATATGTCAATCGGACATCCTTCCTTTTCCATACTAATTCATGAATCTTTGACCTCGAATGCAGCACAAATACGAATTAAATAGAAGAAAGTTTTTTATGTCAATACAATGCACATTATAATTATTACCAAACATTTATGCTTATACTACCAATGCAACCTACTAATTAAATCTTTATGTCTATTTATTTAGACTTTGGAATACTAATGCAACATAAATATTGTCTACATCATCACCAATAAATTCAACCACATGATAATCACAAATTCAAGATGTTATTATGGTTAGCCCTTTAGAATACCAATGCAATGCACCTATATATTAGTATTATTATTAATTATTAATACAACCAATGCAATCACCTATGTAATCCAATCTTTATGTCTATTTATTTAGACTTTGTCAATGTACAATTAATATTGTTTACATCATCACCAATAAAATTCACCACTAGCAATTATAAATCCAAGGTGTATTATATTAGACCTTTAGAAGGCTAATGCAATACAATGTATTACATTATTATTATTAATTATTAGTACAATTTTTTTTAATTATTATAATTATAGATGAGCAATAAATACTAACCTAACGTATCAAGATAGAACATTTGATTGTCTTATCAATCCAATGTGTCAAAATGAAACAATTTAGAGTTTTCAAATATCCACATGTCATCAACCACATGGGTATCCACTTTTTATTATATATATAGATCTTAACAATACTTCAAATCTAAAGAGTGAATATCTTCTAAAAATATCATTAAGACCCATATATATGGAAAATTATCTATTGCCCTCACATTTTGACAAACCATCACTATCTTTCCTTAAACAGTTAAGGAATATGAAGTTGATCTATAATGATTTATTTACAATACATTTCAAGATTAAATCCTATAACACCCTCCACTAACAAACCGATAATTTATTTTTTCAATTAACATATGTTGATGCGTGATTTTGACTCCAAAGACTTCACACGTGCAAAATGTCAACAGTCACATGTGAGATGATTATTGTAAATGGTAAGTACTGTTTTCATAGTGCATGCAAAGACGTAAATAATAAAGGAGACATTAAGTTTTTATAGTGGTTCAGAGGCTAAAAGCGAATCCTACTTCATTGTATTTTTTATATGAGTATGTTCTTAGTCGTTAGCTAAAATTACAAGAGGTCGCAACTACGATCTGGTATTACAAGCGCTTGGTGGTCTAATTATTTTTAGAGAATGTCAAGCTAGTCTCTTTCTCGTAGTGTGTGACGGATGAAGATGTTACTACATCATGAGAGAGATACATGAGGGATTTGTGGTAATTACACTGTTGCACGCAATCTCTTGCCAATAAAATTATTCGACAGGTATATTATTGCCCTTACTTCACGAAGACACTTACAACTTTGTGAAGAAGTGTGACAAATGTTAGAGATTCGTGAACATACCGCAAGCTCATTCCTACCAATTGACAATGATGACTAACCCTTAGCCATTCATTATGTGGGAATTGATTTCATGGTCACCATGCCAGCGGTAAGGGTCGCGTCAAGTATTTGGTCACAATGATTATTTCACAAAGTGGGTTGAAGCAGAATCTTTGGCGTGATCATACATAGAAGTTCAAAGACTTTCTCAAGAATATAGTGTACCGCTATGGAATTCCATATCCTTATCTTAGATAATGGAAAACAGTTGACAATAAGAATTCAAGCTGTTTTATGAATACTGAGATTCAGAAAAAATTCACTCAAGACCACAATCTAATGGGCAAGTTAAAGTTGATATGGGTAAGGATTTGTCGCACCTCACTAAAGGTGAGCCATGGTTTTTTAAGGATAAATGGGTCTAGGTAACTTCTTTTAGAAGATCAGGGGAGGTTGATAATAAGTTGCTCTATTCTCAGCCTATTTTGTGTAGTTTCTTCACGTTACCTACTATGGTGATCTTACAAAATTAGAGCTTTTTATAAAGATCAGGAGTGGTTGTTATAAGATTGCTCTATTCTTTGGGCCATTTGTTAGTTTCTTCATGTCGAGCCTACTATAGTAGACCTTCAGAAGTAGAGCTTTTTATAAAGACGGGGGGTGTTAATAGATTGCTCTATTCTTGGCCTTTTGGTGTAGTTTCTTCACGTCGAGCCTATATAGTAGATCGTACAAGTAGAGCTTTTATAAAGATAGAGAGGTTGTTATAAGATTGCTCTATTCGTCGGCCTATTTGGTGTAGTTTCTTCAGGTCGAGCGTACTATATAGATCTTACAAAAGTAAAGCTTTTTAAAGCCATTGTGCTTTAAGAAAATAGAGCTTTTATGAAACGGTTGAAAGATAAGTTATTTACCCATAGAAATGTACAAATATTTTCTACTCTTAAATTATCAGAATTATTATAAAAATATATCAACTCAAATTTATATAATATGATAATATTTTAAATTTCAACCCTATGAATAAGTTTAAGACTAGTAAAAGTAAAATAGTTAGAGTATATTTGGTTTGTAATAGAAAATTTGTTTCAAAAACTAATACATGATTCAAATTTTGAATTATATCTTAATATTTTTTTATTTGAAAAATATTCAAAATTGTTTTCGATTATAAATTATAGAAAATACGAGAACGATTAAAAAATCTCTGTTTTTTTTTTTTTTACATAATTTTTAGGATTATATCCAACAAAATCTGTAAAAACATTTCAACTCATTTTTTTGAGACTTTCTAAAATTATTTTTCTCATATTTTTTTAAGCAAAACTATATTTAAATTTTATATTAAACTATTTTACTTATGCTGAGAGTTTTTTTTCCACTGATTTTGAAGGTTTTATAATTAGATTGAT